TTCAGAGGACAAATAAAATGCTGACGACTTTGTTGCACAATGACATGCTGGTGAGATAATCATGCATTCGTATTCAAAAGTATCTGTCTGTATATTATTTTCCTCCCACAGGTTTAAAACTGCCCATGGGAGCTATTGCCAGCGACATTGTTTAGCTCTCTGTTTTAGCTTACAGTCTAAGCATCATTCTTCAGAAAAGGGTCGCTTATGCATCATATGAATAAAAATAATGGGAGAAGTTAAGTCCATTTGAGGAAGAAATAAATAATGAGATAAATATTCACATCCAAAAATAGGGATGTTCAATGTTGAATTCCCTGTTTATTAATAAACTTCTGACATCATGACCTCAGAATAGCTCTCGCTTGGCTTAAAAAGTGTAAACAAACCAAATGACCTCTCTTTTCAATACATATAAAAATTTTATTGAATGAATGTGCAGTAATCCGAAATTTCTCTTCGCCCAGGCGTTGTCGTTAGAGCTCACAATGACAAGTGTCGCTTCGCAATGCTTGCTTCGCTCACTATAATGTACATGTTTATAATATGTTGATGGTGCGACCGTTATGGCAAGTGCAGATATTTCTTTTGTTATAATTTAGATTGGGCTCGTCAAACCGCATGTGTCATTTGATGCGTGTAGACTCTGACATCACATGACGTCGTATGTAAGTTACATTACCAATAAGAAGCCTGAACAGTGCTGAAAGTAAATGAAGAATGTTTCAAAACTATTTATCTTCAATATTTTTCCATTAAATCAGGGCATGTTAACTTTTAGTTGAAGTTTTGCTACAATTCTCGCAAGAACGTAGCTTTAACAAGTGATGCATTGTGGGTTCAGAGGTGCTGAGGAAAAAAAAATTCTGATGAATGAATGTGCAGTAGTCTGAATTTTCTCTTCACCCAGGCGTTGCTTTAAGAGCTCGCAGTGACGAACATCGTTTCGCGACGCTCGCTGCGCATGCTATAATTTTTGTAAATATGACTTCTTTTCATCACATTTCCATTCTAAAGTCAATTCTAAGGAGTTATAGCCCCCCCCCCCCCCAAATTAATACATTATTGCAGCTAGATTTCTAATAGCGTTTTGGTTAAACTTTTACAGGTACTTGTAATAGGGCATAATGCATAAATGCAACTCATTTAACTGTTGGTGAAGTAAACAGCTAATTTAACATGCACATTTATTCTGACACCAGAGAATCTTGTTGTCTCGACCTGTTAGGGATGGTAGATTTCAAAATTTTTTGTAAATTTTTAAAAATATGTTTATTATTTTTGTAGAAAATGGATCCAATGTGTACAGAACAACCAGGACCTTCAACTTGTCCAACTTCAATACCGCGAGTACAGTGTACAGTTAAAATATGGTCCTGGAATCGGAAAGTTAAAAAAGCTATGACCTGTACTAGTTTTAAGGAACTAATAGAAAAAAGTAAGAAAACTTTTGGAAGTAGCCCGACTGGTCTAGTACTCGAAAAAGTAAATGTCGAACCCTGCTGTACCATAAATGTTAATTGTTTGGAGAGTATTTAAGTTCATATATTTTTTATTTACATTACTATAATCCTTATGAAGAAGTTATTCTAAGGCAGCTACCCCTAATTGTCAAGATCCAAATAAATATAGATCTGAAATGAGAGAATTCTGAAAATATAGACTATAAGCTGTGATTTTAAAAAATAGTGGATAATTCCATATACATGTATAATTTGAAGAATTTTTAACTAAAATAATAACAATTAATTTTTCAAGTGGTGTCTTTATTTGCACTGTCAAACTACTCTCACTTGGGTCAGAGTTGAATATTACATGTATACATATATGTTTGTTTAAAAGTATACATGTATCTTTTTAAATTTTTACAGCAAAAGCCAAGTTCTCTATTGACATGAACTTCAAATTTGTCCTAGAGGCTGATGGCACCGAAGTAGACGAAGAATATTTTAATGTCCTGAAGAATACATGTAACAACACTTTGACCTTTATCTTCTTAAAGGAGAATGAGGAATGGAACACAGGTAAAAATCCTAGCTGGCTTTGGTGTTGACCCTTTTAACTTGCATCAACTTATAAATTCAATTAAGGTCATTTTTAACATCTTAAATTTTATGCCGGTATATCGGTACTGGAAAATTGCAATACGATATTTTTTTGTTAATGAATCTCAATATACTGGAATATTGATATTATTGCACAGCCCTTATGTAGTAATTTCTACATTAGAATTTCCAATACTATAAAGCTTGGTAATAGTGGAGTCCAAAGGAGGGGGTAGGGTGGGGGAGGAGCATATGAATTTAGTATTACATATGGTATTTGTATGTGTTGGTATATACTGTAAAACAGAAATATTCGTGGGGGATTAAATTTTGTTTATTTTGTTGTTAACAATTATAAATGAAATTAAATCCCAAACTAAATTTCTATATGACTATTAACTGAATAAGATGACTAAAAACAATGAAATTAAATGCCCACTAAACTATTGTTGGCCTAAAATTCAAGTGCCACTTTTCTTTTGTTATATGCATAGACCGGTAGAGCCACAGACTCATCAAACACTTCTGGTTAAAATTGTTTAAACATATTTACCTTTACCTATGGAGAGAATATATGCCTGTTTTTCAATCAAATTCAAAGATTTGAATAAAATATATTGAAAGCAGCTTAGCTAGAAATAGAATGCAATTTACATAAATGTACTTTTTGTTCTAAATGAGTGTCACTGTATCATTTATGTTATCTCTGCATTGTATGCATGCAAATATTATCATTCAAACCTTTTTATCATTGTGACAGATCTGAAGTACCCTGGGCCTGGATGTAAAGAAAAATCTCATGAAACAGGTAAAATTTTATACGAAACTGGTTGTGTATTGCCTTTATCATATCCCCGATCCAAAGGAAAGGGAGTATACTGTTTTACTCATGCATGTCTGTTCGTCTTTGTGTCTATCAGTAACAAATTTTTGGTGGCAGTTTTCTTGGCAACTATTCATCGCAGATGCTTTAAATTTTAGCACATCCTTTGCTGAGGTATGCCATATGGTGGGATTCATTTTTGTTCAATTCTGACATCAACTTCCTGTTTATCAGTGTGTCCGTCCATACATAACAAATATTTGTCACAGTTTACAATATGGTAATACAATATGGTGGAATTTATTTTTGTCAAATCGGATGTCATCTTCTAAATAATCCAGGCATCTGCTCGTAACTGAACATGAACAAGATAGTGTACGTATATTCACAATCAGAGCGGGGGTATTACTAAAAAGTCCACTAGTCTGAACATTTATTGGTGCAATTTCATAACATCTCTAGCCCTTAATTGTGTCAGAAGTTTAGGATTCTAGGTGGGATTCTGTTCATCATATTGTGAAAATGTGTACTGTAAAACAAGTCTTATCTGGATGCTGTGTATTCCGAAATCTTGTCATATATCAAGTGCTGTACATGTCTGTTGTTTGTATTTTGTTTAAAATCTTGAGAATTTTTCTCTCATGTGAAGATGCCACCACTTCCTGGAGGAGAGCTTAAATTTCGCCCTCTACTCGGCACTTATGGCCATTTAGCAGTGAGGGATCTTTTTCCTGCCAGCACCTACTGACCTTGGTTTATACACTCTCATCCGAATGACGGGGCACTTTATATGATGTTAACTTCCCAAGTCCCTTTCTGATATTCCAGTTGATTAAAATGGTCTTATCCTGGACAAACCAATGTAAAAAAAAATTAAATTGTTGAAAAGGGACTGAGCTCAATGGCATTTAGTATTACTCGCATACATATGATGTTGAAAATTGATGTGAGGCTTTTTTTTCTGTGAAATTTTGTGTGTGAACGGCATTGATAACTTAGTGTCTTTTTTTTTTATAGCTTTACACTATATTTTTCTGCCTTTAATGTTTCAGAGGAAGAGCAAAAGAATTCCATTCTAGAGTTCGTAGAGAAAATGCAGGCAAAATTTGAGAAATCAGGCAAGGGAAAAGGAGTAGGAAAAGTTAGTATTATTTCAATTAGATAAGCTGAAATTAATGAGATTTTTCAGACGTGTTTAAGGTGAAAGATCCCTCTGCTCCAAATTTCACCAATTTTTTTTTTTTTAATTCTAAACATTGATTTTCATCAACAACAATAGCATTAGATTCAAATGAAAAATAGTTTGAAGTATGAAGTGCTGCTTACTTTTTCAGAAATGAATAATATGTCAAATCATGATGTGAATTAAGAAACTTTGAAATGGTGAATAGAAATTTCAATTATATTTTATCTCACAAAAAATTAGAAATATGAGGTATATATGAAAATAATATTTAATCTCATACCTATCTTATTCTCATTAGAAAACATACTGAAGCATTGCTTTTTAAATCAGAATATCAAATTGTTTTCTGTGCTTGTAAAATAATATGAATCCATCAACAAGGGTTATCTTGCCATTATCGCCCTTGAAAATATTTTATTGTGAAAAAAAATATTAATTAAATGTTTATTAACAATTATGCATCTCAAATTTCTGTATCAGTTAAAAGACTTGTACATTTAAGAGATAGAAATATCTCAAATTACACCTTTTAAAGGAACTAAGTATAAATGTTTTAGGTAACCTTTGATAAATGATTAATGAAAATATTGGTGATAGAAACTAGAAATTGACATCTGTACGAGAGAACAGATTTGATTGAGTTGACTATAAAATGGTCCTCATAAATGAAAACTGTAAAATCTGACATGACAATTTATTGAATTTCATGGAAAAATGTCTCCAGAAAGTTATCGCTTTAATATAAGAGGGATATTACACCTAATTAAACAATAAAAAATCAATCAGTACTGGTATTCAGATTAAAACTTCCAATATCAGTATCTTTCCTGTAAATGTTCAATATCACATCATTCCAGTAACATTACCAAGTGTAATGCTTTACTTTTTATCCCCCCCCCCCCCCCCCCGCAAACGAAGTTTAGGGGCGGAGTATATTGGAATCAGCATGTCTGTCTGTAGACGAGATTTTTCCAGACCTTTTCTCAAAAACTGTTGGAAAGAATTTGTCTGCATGAAAATTGGTACACTTATTATTCACCATATGAAGGTGTGGACCTGGTATTTTCATCCTGATTTATTGCAAACAAAACGTTACACTTGGTTCTGGATTTATTTTTCTAAATTCTTACCTCAACTACACAAAAGCCAGATTTAAAACTAAATACTTATGTTGACATCTGCACCAAGCATGTTGGACTGAATTATTTAGTCACTTAAATTGGCAGCATTAATATATAGGCCAAAATTTGGAAGTTTTCTCTCTCTTTTTTTTTTGACATCTGCACCAAGTGTGTTGGACTGTATTATTTTGCCAATTAAATTGGCAGCATCATAAATTAGGCTAAAATTTGGAAGGTTTCAATTTCAAGCCCATGCAGTTAGACTAATATCGATGGTTTCAAGGAATATTTTGCTGTGGAAATAGTAATTAAAACAATATGTAAGAAACATGCAGTTATAGCAATACTTTGAGAAGACCGTGGAAAAAAAAAATAAAGAAACACCACAGTTTCAATGTGCAATAAATATAGACTTTTTTTCAGTGGTTGGCACCATAGCTCTCTGGTCATTCATCTAATTTTTTTTTTTAGACCAGCCAGGTGCAGATCTGCAGGTACCCACCCACTGAAAAAAATAATCTTAAACCTAGCTATTTTGATTCAATATTTCATTTTTTGAAACTTTGGTTACCAATACTGACTTTTTATATTTCAGGAAAAGCACAAGCCATTAAGATTACCAATAGGATGGCTGAATTACAGTTACGCCGAAAAACGGTACAAACAGGTTAAAAATACAGTAAAAAAGCGAACTGGGACAACAACAATTTTACTAACCCGCAGTTCTGGATATGAGGAGACTAAAACAACTCTTGAGGAAGAATTTTTCCCAGGAGGGAAAAGTTCTAGAGGAAAATTGGTGTGCATGGACACTGAACTTGGAACATTCAAAGGAATTATAATAAGTCCTGAAAACTTTACAACTGTAGGAGAGTGGGTTGAGAATGAACAAGAGCACCAGCAAAAAGCCCGTCTCTACCTTTTGACCAAGAAAAAAGTATATATATATATATTGCTATTTCCCTATAAGGAATTTGTTAAATTTACCTAGCTGGGAATCCATGATTGAAGATAACTTCGCTATATCCATAAATCCGCAATATCTTTGTTCGTACTAAACATGTTTCACTATATAATCATAGGACTTCAAATATGGAGTCTGGACATTAAAATTTGGATGTGTTTTTCAGCTCATGCAGGATTACGACTTAATGACCGACACCCGTTCTACGGATTCTTCGGATTCTGATTTTCTGCCAAGACTGCAATTAACAAAAACAAAAAGAAAGAAAACAACAGGTATGATTTCATTCTTATTTTAGATTACCTGCACTGAACAGTGTTTCAGCTAGGGGGAATGGATGGTTAACATCTGCAGTGCCCCCCCCCCTTCTTGGTTACCCTCTGTCCCTGGATAACACATACATTTCGCTTGATCTGTCCTTTTCCCTCCTTATAATAATATGCTAGTGTGATTCCAACAGAAAACATATGAATGGGCTGATATTTGATACAAAAGACAGTATTCAGAAAAAGAACCTGAAATATATTGATTAAAGCACAAAATTTTACAGCTTTAATTATACCCTCACAAAGTTTGGGGGGGGGGGGGGGTATATTGGTATCAGCTTGTCCGTCCCCGTCTGTAAACGAGATTTTGTTTATTACTTTTTAAAGTATTATCTTTTATTTGTTGTGTTTTTATCTGCTTGAAATTTATTTTGTATAATTGTCTTACTTTTTAGCAAATACGTATGTACATGTATATTTGTAGATAGTGACAGTGTGATGAGTTATACCTACTGCCATGCTGGGGTGGGGCCCAGTACCCTCCTACCTTCAACGAGTCATACCCCATGTTCACTGGCAACAGCTACACCAACAACAACTGCTGCAATAGCTGTTTGCAATCCACTGATAGGTATGCTTATAGGAAAATCTTGAATTTTTGCAAATCTGACATGTATGAACTCAAGTTTAAACAATAACATTTAGTGATCAAGACTGCATGCAGAATTATGATTTGCAATTAATTATCTAAATACTTGTTATTCATTATTTCAGACAACTCATCAGGCAGTCAAAACAAAAACATTTCTACATCTCAGCAGCCTGGTCAGCAGTGGCTTCCAGCTGGAACCCCAACAGTATGTTCTGTTTTAAGCTCACCTGAGCTGAAAGCTTCAAGTGAACTTTTCTGATCACCCGTCGTCCGTCTGTCCGTCCGTATACTTTTGACATTTTCAACTTCTCCTCAAGAACCACTAGGCCAATTTCAACCAAACTCGATACAAAGCATCCTTGGGTAAAGGGGAGTTTAAATTGTTAGAATGAAGGGCCATGTCCCCTTACAAGGGGAGATAATCAAGAAAATACAAAAATAGGGTGGGGTCATTAAAAATCTTTTCAAGAACCACTGGGCCAGCAAAGCTGAAACTTATGTGGAAGCATCATGGGGTAGTGTAGATTCTAAAATGTTAAAATCATGACCCCTGGGGGTAGGGCGGGGCCACAATAGGGAATCCAAGTTTTACATAGAAATATATAGGAAAAATCTTTAAAAATCTTCTTCTCAAGAACAGTGAAGCCATTATTTGTCATATTTATATGGAAGCATCTGCAGGTGGTGTAGATTCAATTTTTTTCAAAACATGACTGTGGGGATGGGGTGGGGCCAAAATGGACGATCAAAGTTTAACATAGGAATATGGAAGAAAAGCCTTTAAAATCTTCTTCTCGAGAATATCATAGCCATTGGTGGTCATATTTATATTGAAGTATCCTCAGATGGTGTAGTTTGTTCAAATTATGACCCCCAGGAGTATAGTGGAGCCACAATGGGCGATGAAAGTTAAGCATGGTAGTATATAGGATCTATCTTCAAAATTCTTCTTCTCAAGAACACCAAAGCCATGATTGTTCATATTTATGTGAAAGCATTCACAGAAAGTGTAGATTCAAGTTTGTTCAAAATCATGACCGCCTGGGTAGGGTGGAGTCACAATGGACGATCAAAGTTTAACATAGGAGTATAAAGGAACAATCTTCTCAAGACCAACAAAGCCATGGTTTGTCATATTTATTTGAAAGCATCCTCAGATATTGTAGATTCAAGTTTGTTCATATCGTACCCACTCCCCCTTACTCCTTCTACCTTTTAGGGGTTGTTTGGGACCACTCACACATGTAAGCTTTTTAATACTAAAATGATTATTGCTGTTTTCCTAACCACAGTACTCAGGTGAGCGATGTGGCCCCTGGGCCTCTTGTTTATTACATTTCAGTATTCGCACCTACTTTTAATGACTTGAGTAGTTAATTGGCTCTATACTATGACTGCCATGCATGCTTCTTGAGAAAAACATTGTCAATAATCAGTACTTTTGCTATGAAGCTTGACATTATAGAGAATCAGTCAGCTGATGATCAAAATCTCCTGTGCACGTTATTTCAGGGAATTCTAACATGTTCATTTAAGGAATGTTTTTGACTTTTGTGTGAGTTATTGGTGTGTGAATCACACAGACTTGTCACATAGGCATATTTCATGAAGCACGCTAGGGTATAAGATAACAGATTTACTAACAAAAAAACAAAAGATGAGATAACAAGCAGTCACAACATGATAATCGACAATCATCAATGTGTTTGTTGAATCACTGATTCAAATTTCTGTACATAGAAAAAAATTAATTCTTTCAAAATTGTATATTCCATTCCCCATGCTCTGATTTTAAGTATTAACATCATTATCCTTCTATTAAAGCAAATGTACATAAATTCCAATCGCCGTCAGGGTTTTACAGTTACCTCCAGTTTTTACGAAACTTTGCTTGGTGCTATTTTTAGCACTGGGGCATGTGGAGAAAAAAATAATGGAGTAAACTCAGCAAAAAATGCAATATTTAGAGAAAATAATTTTGGAAGGAAAAAACATTAAAGAAAGCAAAACTTCAGTTATGTCCAATTTATGCCCCTGTTTATGTTAAGTTATAACTTTTACCATGCATATCACAAGTAAGTTTCTTAGACCGTGCAGCATTGCTAAGATGTCTGGGTTTGTTTGTCTGTTCATTTGTGTGTCTGTTGACTTTCTGTTTAAAATACTTATACCCATTCATCAGTTTTAGTCATACATGCATTTAAATGAATTGGACAACGCCAATTCTGTATTTTGCATTTTGATTTTAGCAATGTGTTACGGCAATTAATCTTTTCCAGGTGCTATTCCAACAAGGTCATGCTGGGAAGAATTGTACCATTTGTTTTGACCGAGAAATCAGTCATTTTTTCCTGCCCTGTGGTCACACGACATGTTTAGTCTGTGGTCTGGAGATAGAAACCCACAACAGAATGTGTCCGGTGTGTAGACTACTCATTCAGGAAGTAAAACCATTATTCATGTAATTTTGTTTCTTGTACCCAGATTTTTGTGAAATTTTACAGGCCATTGTATTAGAGATGATTATACATTAATTAGCTTGATGTAGCTGCTGGTTGATTCTGGTTGGTTTATATCCTACTTTATCAATATTTGGAATTGTATTTTGTTTTTCAATATTTATGATTCCAATATTGTTGCATTCATTTTAGTAAAAAAAAAAAATAATAATAATACCTGTAACAGAGAAATTGTGTATTAAATATAATTAAAAATGTCCTGTCATTGCAAGCATATTATATTTTTGAATTATTTGAACTCTCCATTTAAAATCACAATGGAGCATTGACTCACTGTAGTTAGAAGTAGAATTAGTAGGGATTGTATTTTAGAGGTCTGTTTCATGTGATTTTTCAGGGTGTTAATAGAATGTTTCAATATCTTTTTTAAAAAAAATATTCCAAAAAGAAATATTTATGATATTCAGGTTTAAGCATTGTTAAGTAAATTTATTTTTATTAGACTGAGTGTATATTTTTTTTCTTGTTTGGTTATAAATAAAATCATTTTGGTTTTTGCACCAGCTTGCATTATGATTAACATCATATATATGAAAGTAAGACATTTTAAAAGCATTTCTAATATGGAAAATTTAACATAAATCAGTCAACTTAAAAATCAGTCAATGTAAGTTGTTTAGTTCTCGTATATTAACAATTAGAAATTTACCATTTTTATTTAAATTTCTGAGTATGTGTAAAGCATTGTTTATGATTGTGAAAAGAGAATCCATTAATACATGTACTTCTTATATTTCAATTCAATTCAATTCAATTCGTTTATTGACCAATTAAGGGCCCTCATGGGGCAAAAAGAAAGTACATTGTTAAAATGTATATAATGATTATGATCATACACACGAAATACAATATACATATCCATAAGAGGGAGAGAATTGCTTGATTGATAGAAAATACGTACAAGTAGGGGAATACCCAAAATATTTTATATGAACATAAGACTTGTTTTATAGGTATATATACAGTACATCATATATATATGCATACATTACTAAACCATATACTTGAAAGTATCATACTTTTACATAATTAATAATAATAATAATAAAAAAAAAAAAAAGAAAAGAAAAAAGTTATCTCATGGAAGATGACTTTTTGATAGGCAATGTGTGTGCTTTATTGCCTACAAACAGGCAAGGCCTTTTATAGTGTTAGGTGACTGATGATAAATCGACAGTGATGGTCAAAATTATGCACAATTTTTTTTATTAATTTTCTTTTTACATTTTGTTACCTTTATTACAGTGTATGTAGACTTTTGTCTTGAGTTTTCTTTAAGAAAGTAGATAACTTTTAAAATTAAAATGATTAAATTGTTATTTGTATGTATTCACTCAGCTGAGTTAAAAGCTTAAGTTAGTATCTCAGATCAAATTTTGTGTGGCATTCTACTGTAAACTTTTCACATTTTCAAATTGTATAGAATGACTGGACCAATTTCAACTTTGGCACAAAATGTCCTTGGGTAAAAGGGGGAAATTTATTCAAATAAAAGACCATGTTCTTTATTAATAACAAATTCATGTATTTAAGAAATTTAAGAAATCTATAAATCTCTTTTTGAAGAAGCAAATTTTCCTGATTAGTAATTTTATGATAGTCGTCATTTTAAATATAATTGTATTGGTTTCTGATTTTAAAGGAAAGTGTTTTCATGGTAACTAAATTAGACAAAATCTGTGAAATACCATCAAATTCTCACTCCTCCTACAGATTTCCTCTGATTTCAATAGAAAGTGGCACATGGATTCCTAACTTTATCACACAACTTTTTATATTGGTTTTGATTTCCAATTCAACCAAGAGTAACTATTTTATTTTATTTTTGCATAGCTTCAAGCCCAAGTACTCTTTTCTCATAATTATGAATTAACTAGTTGAACTACAGATTTGTCAGAGACTTCTGGTTATGAAGGATGTTAACCTTATACTTTTTTTTAAAAAAAAGTTCTTTTTAACTGTTTCTAGACTTTTTTCTGCTGCACTTGCAGATATTGAGTAGATTTTTGCTATTTCTCTCGATATTGATTACTTATAAGCAGATCTTTTTTTTTTCTTTGGATGACCTGAACTTTAAAAAGTATTGCCAGAATATCTAATTATTCTTTGTTTTTAGCCTTATTTTATTGCTTTGCTTGTACAATAAGTGGTCATATTTTACTCAACAGATAAAATGATTGGTAAAGAAAATTGATTTCAGAATGTAAAACAACAATTTTTTTTATTTTTATGCCATTTCCACCATTACTATTTCACAAAATTGGACTTTCACATATTTGAAACTTGCATATCAGTGGGGGAAGGCAGATCACATTGGTACATCCTGTTTTTAATTATGGAGGAAAAAAAATATGTGATGATCTTTTAGACCCAGAGTGATCACATTATAGGATAATTTTTTTTTTTTTTACATGTAAATAAATAGGAAAAAAATATTCTCTTTTTATCTTTTGATTAAGATAATTTTTTTTTATCTTCAAAAGGTCAAAAATAAGCATTGTGGCCTATGAACCTTTTGTATTGTTCATTGTTTTGTAGTGGGGATAATATACCAGGCCCCAGGCCAGGATCATGAAAAATTTTAGACTTAAGTCAAATTTCCAACCACTTGTAAAAAAATTTATTTATTATGGAATTGATCTCTAAAGTTGCAGTTACCAAAACTTTTGAATAGCAATATTGAATGAATATTTTAATATGGAATTCTTGCCTTCTACAATATTTTAGTACAAGACTGAAGAGAGAGATTTTGACATAAATTTAAAATGTTTCATGATCCTGGGTCCAGCACTGTAATATCATTAGCAGTTTTCAACTTTTTTGTTGAGGAAAAGCATTTCCTTGTATTTTCTTTACCAGGTAATTTGCTAGATAAGCTTTATTTTTTGATTTTTTATTTGAATCATTTTATATGAAAAAGGATAAATAAAGACATTTTAAAGTCAAAGTAACAATCTTTTTTAGTGTTGAAGTTATTTTCATTCTGAAGGTTGTCCAAGAAACACCATGCAATGACAGCGTGGTTTCATTTTAATTTACAAAAAAAAAAAACAACACGTGTACATGTGTACATATATACACGTATGCATCTCCCAGTGTAAGTAAACACTGTTATGATAGAATCTTAAGTTTTCCTTCTTACTGGACTATTTCTAGGACACGCATTTAAAAGAGGGAATTACTATCTCCTTGAAAGGGAGCTGGAAGGGATATAGTATGGCATGTATTTGTGAGTGTTAGCTTGTCCTAGTGCGAAAGGGAAGTAATGTTATTTGCAGCGGGATTGATGTCATTATGCTGCCTTGATCTCCACTTTGCAGTGCCCTTGTTACAAAATGTCCTGAAAGTTAACATCTAGTTAAAGGCTTTATCTGTTTATAGAGGACTTTCAGTTGAAACTGAGTCCATGTCCCTTTTAATAACGCCTTTTTTCTAGTACATGTAAACATCCAAATCTTTGGTTCATTAGCTTGTTTGTCAGCTCTACTTGTTTTAAGTCATTAAAGCTGAACATGATTCGTAAAAGCAATGCGTCCGCCATTTTTGTTCGGATTCTCGCTATATCTGAGGACCCCTATATAAAGGGCCTGACTTTGACGCTGTTCTGTATGATCAGTCGACACCGGTGCAGACGGACGTATGCTACACAGCACTCAAAAATAACTGTAATACCTCGTCTAATGCAGGAAAGTAGATACAAAAGAAACTTACAATTATAGTTGTACAGGTTAGTGCATTATACAAACAAACACAGATACACGTAACTACAATAAAATGTAAACAAAGGTATTGCAAGATAACCAGCACGAACACGGGTCGCCATTCCACGCCGATACCCGTGACAATAAAGCAGTCAGGTGTAACGAATGCGAAGAGTATACCCTGGTGTTGATGTATCGTAGATATATTATCGAAAATGGCGTATGCCTATTTACGAGTCGTGTTCAGCTTTAACCCTATTTCAAGTGTAATGGTAAATTATTACAAAAGTATTATGGGACGTTGACGGGTGGAAACAAGTCATCACTTTATCATGAAGTTTGGTTGTTAGATTACCATTGTCATTTTTTTCTAGTAAAATATCCAGATATGTAACGGACGTCCCAGGCTATATTGTAGGCCTATTTTTTTTCATTTGTTCATTATCGGCCGCAGCAGTGGATGCTGCGGCCGATCTATTTGTGGTTGTGTTAGAAAGTGCACACGGGGGGAAATGAGATGTTATTATTTTTTTTTTTATTAACGTTAGTTCAATAAAATAATTCTCAAATGATTACATGAATAAAATCATGAGTAAAATATTTTTAAAAGTTGTTTTAAACTAAGTTTTAATCGTTGTTATTATGTTTCAATTTCATTATCATTTTGCATCAGATAATTGATAATTTATGTGTAATGAGTTCTTTGGATTTTGTGTTAGTCCGGAAGAAAACGAAACACTGTAGAATCAATTAAACAAAAATAAATTTATTTTACAGATCCAACAAATGAATAAACAACCAAAAAATAGCACAAAAGCCTTACATACACCACACTCGCAAACACTCACACAGAGAAAGAAAAAAATATAACTTTATAAAGAATAAACTGACACGCCCACGAACAATGAACTTAAAGCTGCGTGTCAGAAATAAATATCAAAACAAAACTTGTTTAATGAAAACAGTAACTTTTGAATTAAACAATAATTAATTTCAAGTCGTTTCAAAAAAGTTCAAAATAGAATTTATACTTTCAAATACTCTTCACTGTAATATAACTTAGAAATGCTTTTTGAATAAACCAAATTGGGAGTTTGTCTGACAACTGTTCACTTATTCAACACTAATATCAGCACCACGGGGCTTCCGTACACCACTGTGTTCACACAACGCTCACTAGCAGTCTAGACCGCCGGACTCACAGGTCTCCCTCTTCTAACGTCTCTGTAGTCGTCTATGCATCCGTTAGAATGACGCTATGGCTTTACCATTGGTCTGTAGGGACGAAGTACACGTACA